GACCATATATCTGTGTGTGTGTGTGTGTGTGTGTTTATATATCTATATAGTTTATGATTAGTATTATATAATATAAATAAGAATTTTGTGGTATGTGTGTAATTGTAGAATAAATGTATTTCATTAAATGCATTTTATTCTGTGGCAATGCCTGTGACAACGAATTTCCCACAAAAAAAAAGGCTTCGCAAGATATTCATCATAAGGGTAAACCAGAAAATATCATGTCCCACACAGGCATTAAGCCATGGACGCAAGCATGAAACTGCGTTCCCGTTGTAGTGAGAATTGAAAAATTGATTTGAAAACTCAGTTGCACAGCGCTTCTTCCAAACGCTCCAAAATCCAATTCGGTTCCCAACCATGGGCCAAAAAGCTGTCCTAATCGCGAAAAAATATTACGCTCGGAGTCCGGATGTATCCAGACTCCAATATCATTGTGACGCGTGGCGGGTCAGGGTATTTAACTTTCATGAGAGTACAAATGTTGTACTGTCTTGTTTTAAATGTGTCACGCTTCACGATATTATTGGAGTATGGATACATCCAGAATATTTTTCCCTCAAACGCACTCTAAGTTTGATTTATTTAACTTTCTTGTTTTTAAAAATGGTCGAACTTTTTGCTCTAATTTGAGCAAATTTGAATGTGTAGTAATGAACCGAGTTCAAGTATTTCATCGAGATTATTGTTTCATTTATAGAGCTAAGTGAGGATAACTTTATTGAAATTGAAATGTTCTTTTATGGAAAACTAAAACATTGAATGATCTTACTATAGAGAAATTTATTTCCCTATTAGATGTGTAGAAAGAAGAATTGCATAAATAATTCCTTCCTAGCAACTCAGTGTAAGTTTCTCAAGATACACTATCTTGTCTCAAGCTAAATGCAGCAGTGCAAAGTACATTAAGAGTTTTGTTCCTTCATGTTTGACATTCATAGCATGATAGATAAAGACAAGATCTTCAAATTTCTCACAATTTTACAATAATGGGCTTAGTTGAGGTTAACCTTTTTGTGAACTCTAAACCCAGTGAGGATTATTGTACTTGAGAAGTAATTGCTAGTTATTGTTTTTTTAATTTGATGTGTATGGATATGTTTTATCTTCTTGTTCTTTTTTGTTCTGTTTTTTGTAGCTCTCCATGGGATGCAAGATTGAGGAGATGGGCAGAAGAATAAAAATGGTATCAATACCTTTCTGAAACTTCTGTAAATAATTTTTGTGGTACTTGCGATTTTTATTTGCATGTTAATGGACATTTTTCTGCTTGAATATATAATTGTGTTCTTATCTGCTGCATATTTTCTGTAATTTTTTTTTTAAAGAGGCTTTGTTTGTCAAAATTTTTTTGGTATTTGTACTGGTTTCTGCTTTTCTTTTCTGTATTGCTATGAAAATGTAATGAAAGAATCAGGCGTGATTTGCCCTGTAAACAATTTTTTTAATGCTTATTACTCGTATAGGAGTTGACTATAATTGTTCTGGATCAGTTGAACTATTTGGACTATTGTGTAATATTATACTTATATTTAATTTTCACTTTTGTTTTACTAAACTATATAAAATCAGCTTGATTAGTTGGAACTTCCTCTTTAGATAAAGCTCAATTGGAGGTTTCTGTTTAACTTTTCTATTTTTTTAGAAGGGGTTTCATATAAATGGAACAAAATTCTTTTGCATTTACATGTAGAATGTCTAAGTTTTCTTATATTTATTTTTATGCTATTTTAGTTTTTCAATATTTTCTAAATAAACATGTTATGTGATTTTGAGATTTCATTATTTTCTAAATAAATAATATGAGATTTTATTGCATTTAAAATTTGTTGTTTTAGGGTCTGTTTGAGGCAGTTGTAGCTTAATAATAAGTTGTTGCATAGCAGCTACGGATAAGCTAACTGTCTGTTTTTTATTGTTTTTTTTTTTTTTTTTTTTGTAGTTTAAAAACAGTTGCACTGCAGTTGTTTCTGAGTAAATTATCATTGTCTCTGTGCAGTAATATTGCCTATAACAGAACTGTTAATAATAATATATTTTATACTTTAAAAATAAAAATCTAGTGCAGAACATTACAAAATAAAGATAGACACCACACTTAATAGTGAGTATCATTATTTCCACAATTGAGAAAAAATATTAAAACGACAATCAATTGCGACAAATATGTCATCCAGAAGTACCCATAAGGTTAAACTTATCATCACAGACCTCCAAAACCCACCAAAAGAAAAATAAAAAAAATGTAAAAGGAAAAAAAAAAACACTTATAAATTGTGTAAAAAACCAAAACAATCAATATCAAATTTAGAAGGAACGAAAATAAACATGAATTGTATAAAATATTGATACAATAAAAAGTGAATGTCTTTTACAACTATTACAATTAATAACTTGATAAAAGCTCCAATCATCCTCCAATTATCACATACATAATTTTTTCCCTCAACTGTCATCTCGCTTGCACCATCATCATCTTTAGTATAAGTTTTTGGAACATCATTTTTATTTTGTGACAAAGAATGTCTAAGATGGTACTCATATGCCTCGACCGTGTCATTTTCATGATCATCATTTTCCTTGCGGAAGGATGTCGTCGAATATGATTGTGGGGAGTCATTGTGACAATCACAATATGCAAATATTTGGGCAATGAGTAAGATGACATATCGCGAAGTATAACACATTTCTTCTTCTAAACACTAAAAGTCTTTTCAATAACATAGTGCAAGGATGAATGTCTTTTATTGAACATTTCCTTTTTGTCCAGTGCAATATTTCTCGCTCGCCTAAAATTAGGTATGCAGTATTTCGTATCAGGATAGAGCTTGAGATATCATTGTTGCAATTGATACCCAACATCGACTAAATAATACTTACATGATGTGAATTGAATGCTTAGTGTTGAAGAAAAAAAAAATTAAGAGAGTAGCTCAGTCTAAAACGAACTTGCAGATGGATGTGTGAAGTTTTATTTGTAATTTCGTGTTGTAGATTTGAAAATTCGATTGTCATGTGCACTGCGCTCCCAACCGGCTAGGGCAAAAGTGAAACACATGTTGAAGTCACATACCTCAATGACATTTTGCGTCGGGGACCCATAATGGTTGACAAATGCGATCTTCTCATTATTTAGAACACGTGCATCAACGTGTGTTCCATCGATTTCTCTAATACAATTCCAGAAAGATAACGAAGGGTTACATAATTACGATATGTATATGAAAATTGAATGTAAGAAATATGAGAAATTACCTTAAAGTTTGACATATATTGCGCATCGTGCAAAATCTCTGTGAGGATCCTTTCGAATGTAGGATCTGTTGGTTTTGTAACTTTGTGAAGAAAAACTGATAAGTGCATACAACCCTACTGAGAAGTATCTACAAATATTTTTGGAGGAGTGTTGAAATCGCTTCATAGCTCATCACATTAGTTTTGTAACTTTGTAACTTTTCAACACATCTCGCAAAGTAGTTCTGGATGAGCCATGAAGTCCATGATTTTTGTGTAGTTCCTCCAACAGAATGCTGAATACCGCCTATCATGCGAAACATATTGTTAAATGTGGTTGGGTGACCCGCAAGCAACTTTTCAACTAATTTGTCATCAACATATGAGGATGTCATGCAAGAGGAGTGCTCTATGTACAAGTTTTAATATTCGTACATCAAACATACAATAGCTGCAACTCTCCTTCTGTGTCTTTCTCTAGTTGCATCCATGTGTTTCAATATTGAAATGGCTAACACATAAGCATCAATGAATTAACTACAATCATATAAGGCTACGAACAAAATCAACATAAGCTAATAACATTTCATAAGTAAATAGAAAACATGACAATGAATGAAAAACTGTCAAGTGACATGACTAAAACAACATAAATATCCAAAGCAACATAAAAAATCATAAATAAATAGAAATGTCCCATAAGAATCTAATTAAAAAAAAGGCATCATTCAAATGTCACTGCTCCCATGAAAATAACATAGGTAAACCACCCTACGGTCAACGACCATCGCTATGATAAACTCTTTATGGGTCACACCTTCAAGTAACTTCATAGAGAACAAATACAACGACATGTTCTCAAATATTTTTAGAGTTGCATCCAGAATTCACATAAATTTTTGGACAAACATTGCTTATGATGGGTCGGGGTCATTGGAGCATAATGCCACCAATTGTGAGATCTGACTTCTAAGGAAAGCAACTCCCTCTTTCTTTTTTTTTCCAACCTGGGGACGCTTTGACTGGCCCTTGGACTCAACTTCATAGATTTCCGAGGTTGGGCTTTCAATGGAATCACATGTTTGTTCAGCTATCAAATGTTTAGGGATGCCACAAAACCCCGCCTCACTGATGACACGTGTATTGTTGCTTGTTGCTATGACACCTCCAATCATACGATCCAACTTCTCCTCCAACTCAGGATTGAGTCCATCGTATTTAAATTTTTTTCAGCATACACCACCGTTGACCTCATTTTTGGTTGAGGTCTAGAAAACTTCTTTAGTAGCCTAGGTCTAGCCATAGGACTTTCCTATTGACTAGTCTTAGAAAATTAGAAGAGGTACCCCACCATTAGAAATTCAAAACTCTTCTTTTTTTACTCAGCTTGAAATTCCACATATTGATCTTAACCTCTAGCATTTAGTAGGTAAGATCATTATAAGAGAATTCAAGAAGAGTCCCTATAGGATTACTTGGCTTTAGGATTGACCCTGGGTGTTGACTTGGAACTAGGGTACACCATATCTTCACAATA